AGCACCAGCTTTGGATGGAGCCATTTTAAAATGATTGGCTGTCCAGTTTGAAAAATGCCCAAACTAGCACCCTCCCCATTTCAAATACAGAAATTAGGAAGAAGAAAAAAAAAACACAACACACAAACACAACACCTACAGAAAAGTTGCGTACTACCAAAAAGCATTTTGATTCTCCATTGGGCATGAACCCTGAGCTGGGTGAGCAGACATCCTATCACGCCTCAGCCACAGGCTTCTGATTCTAGACTAAAAATAAAACGTACGCCCGGTCCAAACACTAATAGTAACAGAGCAAAGCTGGAAATCTATTGTGGAAACTGTGTAGATCCTCTGTCCAAAGTGTTACTCTTCTGGAACTCTGGTTCAAGAACTTCTTTCCCTTTTGGCAAAAACACTTGTTACTTGTACCAAAGAGCACTACTGGAAACACTTCGCAGAGTCGCTGCCAGAGCCCTGGACTGAAGTGTGTGTACAGATCTGTGCAGTCTGGAAACACTAAAGGAACTTCAACTCCGCTCTCATTACCAAGCATATGGTTTTAAGTTGCAGAGCTGATCAAAATCGCAGGATGAAGACAAACAACACTTTAAAGTGGAACTACACTGCATCCAAGTATCACAAACCAAAAACACTATTTCATTCACTTTTAATAGTCAAAAGCAAACTCCCCCATCCACCCATGTCTCCACGCTTTATTTTGCTGAGAAATGAATTTGAAAAACCCCCCCCCCCATTTCTTGCCACGGCCATCTTGAGTAAGGGCAGATGAATTTACTTCCTGGAATCTGCAATCTATCTGCCTTATCTGAGAAATCCCTAATCCCCCCCCCACCGAAGATACCTGGGATGTATGACATCATTTGCCTAGGCATGGAAACCAGGAAGTAAAAAAAAGTAAAAAAAAAAAAAAAAGTTTAAAACAAGTAAATACAATATAAGTTCCAAGGACGAATAAGCATAAGGACAAAAAATAGTCAATGTTTATTGACAGTGTAAAGTTCTGCTTTTTTAAACTTCCTTTCTTTGCAATGCTAACAAACCCAAAGGCAGCCACACAAAAAAACTTGTCCATGTAGGACAAAGCAACAAGATTTACTTTAAACCCCAACAGCATATTACCCCATTATTGGCTCCCCAACTGCTTCAGCTGTCAGGAGGAAGAATACCCAGAACGTCAGCGTATAGAGGAGCATATGACCCACTTTATATGACAGCAACCCTGGGCCAATCACCACAAAAGTGGCTTTCCTGTTCCTGGAAGCTAAGTGGTTACCAGCTTCTTGTATGCCGAGATCCCAGTGTTATTACTGCCCAGAACCTCAGCGTATAGAGGAGCATATGACCCACTTTATATGACAGCAACCCTAAGCCAATCACCACAAAAGTGGCTTTCCTGTTCCTGGAAGCTCAGTTGTTACCAGCTTCTTGTGTGCCATTGTTATTACTGCCCGTGTCTCACCTGCTGGACTACAGCACACCCCTTGAGTTAAAGCGGGAGATGGATAGGGTTGCCACCTCATCCCTTTAAAACTGAACACATACTAAGTACACAGGTTCAGTGTCTGATTAAGGTGGTAAACACACCTGCATTACATTAGCCTCAGAACCTGTGTAATCAATTTGCGTTTGGTTTTAAAGGGATGAGGTGGCAACCCTAGAGATGGGTAGGTGTTCTGCAGTCCAGCAGAGTATAGTCCAGGCTGACAACACTGCTCATGACATCAGTGAAGCCGGCAGCTCAAACAGGAAGTTAGAAGCTCACTGGGTTTCAGGCAGATCAGACGGCATTTTTCATACCTGCACCATTTTCAGAGACAAAACATGGGTAAATGTGCAGAGGTACTGCTGCAAAGCAATGAAAGCATTCGCCAAAACACTTGTAGGGGCAGGTCAAAGTGGTTACAAAAGCAGATCATACTTTTTCCAGTGGAAGTATCGCCCACCATATAATTTTCCAGAGTCCCATCTCGATCCAGCATTGTCACCATCTGCAGCGGCACTCCTCTCTCCTGACAGGAAAGAGGTAGCAGTGGAAACCATTGGCTCCTATTGCTGTCAATCAAATCCTGTGAGCAGACAGCGGGGAGCAGGGCCGAGCTGCACTGTGCATGTTTATAGACACAGAGTCAGGATCAGAGCAAGCCCATGGCTGAGCCTCTATAGGAGGCAGCTTCTTATGGTGGAGCACTTTGAAGAGGAGGAGCCTGGAGCGCCGATGGGGGACCTCAGAATAGGAGGTTCAGGGCTGCTCTGTCCAATCTCATTGCACAGAGCAAGCATGACATAAAAAAAATAAAAAATAATGTTAATAATAATCCTTTACAAACAGAAAGAAGAAAGACGTTCAAGTGGTTCTAAACTCTAAATGTTCTTTAACCTAAATGCATAGACGCCGCACTATGACCCCCCCTCAATGCTAGCAGGCCGAAAATAGGTAAGTATATACATCTTCCTTACACAGGTTAGTCAGCATAGGTGGATTTTTGGGGGGCGGAGGGGTTAAGCATTTCTAAGACTAGTAAGGATTAGCCTGGGACTCTAAGCAACCACGGCATTCACATCCACATTGTACCAAGCAAAAAATACAGACGTTGCCACAGCTGGCCTACTGAAGATTTTGTTTGGCTTCAAAACATCTGCCAATGAGACCGAGACCAAGCATTCAGCAAATGAAAGTCAAAGCTTCCTTTCAAGTGGGCTAACAGTGTAAACATGGGGGAAAAAAAAAAAAAAAAAACCCCACACAACACACCACAAACTTCCCCCTGCAAGGAAATGTCATAATGCGTCAGTACTAGCACATTATGAAAGACTTACCTGAAAACGAAGCCCTCCAGCAGTGCGCTGTCACCGCTGCAGAGGCTTCCCATCCTCACCCAGTCTTCCTTCCAGGTTCATGCAGCTTGAATGGCTGTGCTGCGATGACATCACTCCCATGCATGTGTGCGCGAGTCTCAGCCATGGCACAGAGCTCTGAAGGAACAGCACGGGTAGCACCGGTGTAATTAGTGGCTGCAGAGACACTGAATATTTCCTAAATGGTGCATGTTTAGGAGATATTCTTTGTACCGCCAGAGAAGCTTGATTATAGTCTTACCAGTAGGTACAAGTGTCCAATGGGGCCTTACTACCACTTTAACCTCCTTGGCGGTATGATTCTTTCCGATTTTTTGTGCTGAAAGCGGTACCATTTTTTTGCATGGAAATATGTAGTTTTTTTATTGTAGGCTGTAATTTTTAGGAATAACTCACTGAAATCTGTACGAATAAGAGTCTAGTAAACATTCCGGATATGATAAAACTTGAAACACGAAATCATAAATTATAATTTAATAATCATAAAAAATAATATAATAAATTTAATTCAATAATATAATCAAACCAAAAACACTGAAATTTGAAATACAGAGGCAAATTCGCACATCGCTGAGCAAAGTCGCAAAATCATTTTCAGTGTCTGATGATGAATTTCCCCCACGAATCATTATCACTCAATTCTGCAAGTGGTTCTGATTTACTATCGCTGTTCTAAAACCGCTTTTAACGTAAAGGGACGCTTTTTGGACGCCATGGACTTTTCTAAGTTTCCAGGCAGAAAGAACAGTCAAAATGCAGGCAGGGCGCAGGACAAAGCAGTAGGGACAAAATATATGTGAAATGCATTGAAACAGCAATGACAGCAAAAATGACATTTTTTAAAAATTTCAAATTTCCCGCCAGTTCTGGCGCCCGTACGTCCCGACGTCACAGGGACCGGAACACAGAAGCCGGATGCCGGCATCGGCCGGAGGAGATGGCCGGGGACGCTGCACGGGACACATTGCGGGAGCGAAGGACAAGGTAAGTGCTGCAGGGACCCCCTGAGCAACGCCGCATGGTAAGCCCGAGTGTAGCTCGGGGTTACTGCTCTTGGTATTTAAATTTTACCCCGAGCTACACTCGGGAATACCGCTAAGGAGGTTAAGCCGCCGGTCATAGATGGATGGAAATTAGTCCGGTTCAGCAGGAACCAGCAATATCTGATACATCTCTGGGCAGGCTGGTTGTACTAAAGTTGATGGATCAACATTTTAGTACAACCAGCCTGTCTGGTTAACTTTCGCCCCAATCAGAAATAGCAGCCAGCAGCGATCATTGTATTCTGCCGGTGGGGAAGGCTTTTTGCACTGCACTCCCCTGCCAGCAGAACAAAATATCACTGCGGAAGGGATTTACCCATCAACACTGGCAATGTTGATAGGGGAATCAAGCTATTTTCTTTTCTTAAACTTTGAAGTTGAAGGAAAGAAAACTGCATAATGTACGACTTGCCTCAAAATCTCCTCACGCTGAGTGCAAGTAAATGTGCGACCTCTCAGCGTCTGGGCATTGACGCCAAGCAGCCGCACATTTGCGTGCAATTAAAAAAAACGTGCTGAGAGCGCGCGCCCTGAGCACTCCCAGCACACGTCCGGTACGCACGGAAAGGTCCCGGTCTCCTCTTGTGATCGGGACCTTTCCCGATCATGTGACCGCCGTGACCCTTAAAGGGCCGGAAGGCGCCTCCGCCAAGGGGTTAAAATCTTAACGTCTGGCTAACACTGAATCATTAAGCAGAGTTTAATTGAAAAAGCATCAATTCTTATTAAATGCAGCACAGCATTCGGCCACATAGGAAAGTGCCTAGACACCCTCCTTTCTAGCCTGACAAGTGCATGCCAGAGCTTTGCCATGATCAGGGGCATATTTCACACCCACTTCTAACTTCAGTTACATTACACTAATGTCACAGAGCAGGAAGAGCTGCCTGGCGTTGGCTTGCACCTCCACAGATATGGTAGCAGTCTCACAGCCAAGCAGCACTGTGGCATGGATGATAAAGTGAATACAGGCAAAAGAGCAGCTACAGAATGCCTACTGAAAGTGCTACATGATACACAAGTTGCTCGTATCGCCCTGTTGCAGGATAAGGTTTCCTGACTCTGGGCCTGTTCTAAAGCTCATTTTTTGCATCCTTTTCAACCAGATGGGACAATTAAATCCATAATTTGCTTTGCTTCTAAAAGCCAGCAGATGAATTGAAACCCTCTGGCTCTTGTAAAATCAGCCATCAAACGCAGCCTTAATATACGAATGTCATCCATTCTCTCAGAAGTAGATACGAAGCATGCGCTTTTTTTGTCCTTACCATATGCTGTCATCGTGCCGACATATGGGCCGTCCACGACGTTCCTGTTTTCCTCCGCCAGGGCTTTGATGTAGCGTTTGCTGAGATCCAGAATCTGCTCGCGGAGCATGGTGCTGCTTTCGTGCTGAGTCCGCTGTTGGATCGTGAAGTGAAGCAACATCATGCCCCAGATAAAGCCAAAAGTCACCAGAAAAAAGCCCAGCTTCTGGGAGGACAGCTTCCACGGCGTGAAGAGGGCCATGACCTTTGCAGGCAATTGTTCTGTCAGGGCAGTGGTTTTATACGCTACAAAGACAGTTTAGATCCATGATATTCACGTTCACGAAGATGACTGTAGTCACAGCATTGTAGTAATCAGATCGCTTGCATATGGCTCCGTAATGCTGCAGGAAGAAAAAAAAAAAAAGAAAAGAAAAGGAAAACATTAAAAATGGGGGTTTTCTTTACTTTTAGACCATCATTTTTCTATGAACATTTTTGGTTTTAAATAGCGCAATTACCACTTAAACTCCAGAAGGTTTTAGCCCTACATGACCAGACCATTTTTGCTATTCAGCATTGAGCTACTTTAACTGGCAATTGTGCAGTCATGCCACACTGTACCCAAATGAAAGTAATTTTTTTTAACTCACACAAATTGAGCTCTCTTTTGGTGGTATTTAATCACCATTGGGTTATTTTTTTTTAATTATATAAAAACGGGGAAAAAAAAAAAAGACATTTTGATATATTTTGAGATAGATATATATATATATATATATATATATATATATATATACACATACATACAAATACATACATACATACACACACACACACACACACACACAGAATATATATATATATCAAATATATACCTATAGTATATAAAATATAATAATGACCGGCCACTCCAGCGCTGAGCAAACATTTTTTCCTTTTAGCGCTATATAAATACTATATATATATATATAATAATAATATAAATATACACACACACACACACATTACACGCACACACACGTGAGCAAACCTTTTTTTTTTTTTTTATAAAAAACAATTCCTTCATACATTTAGGCCAAAATGTATTTCTGCCATGTCCTTGGTATAAAAAAAAAAAAGAAGAAAGAAAATCCTAACAGGTGTATATTGATTGGTGTGAAGATTACAATGTCTACAAACGATATCTATTTTGCGTTCAGCAACTTACAGTGGGACTGCGATGGTGCGGCAGGCAATCTGACTCTGAGTGGGAACTGACTGATACTGAAATCTCCAGTGACATCAATACAGTGATAAGTGATAACACTACATGCGGTCTCTGTACTAATGACACTGACTGGGAAATGGTTAACTTTTTGATTTCCCCTAGAAGTTAACCGAGTGCAATGTGTGAAATGTGTGCTGTTTTTAATAAGTGACTTTTTTTTTATCCCTACAAAGCAGGGAGAAAAAACAAAAAACAGTCACATACAGTTCGGTACATATATATTTGGACACAGGCACAATTTTAGGGTTTTTTTTCAGGTATTTACCAAAACATGTAAAATTATATCAGAAAAGCGCCAAAACAAGATAAAATTACAAAATAAGCAGCAAACCTAAACCCCAAAAAAAGGTATAAATAAATAGGAATGCGCTAAATCATAAACCGTGTTTAAAATTTAAAATAATCGTGCTAAACAATCAAAAAACAGAAAGTGTCCATATGTTCCCGTATAAAGTCCAAACACCATATAACTCTGGAAAATATTGTAGAAACAATAACACCGTGATCAAACTCCACCACCAGATGAAATGAATAAACTCATGCTCTTCAAATTATAAATCAGCATAAGCGCTGTTGCTCTGGGAACGATGATTGTAGGGAATATCCATAGTCTAGAAGCAATACTCAGCAGCTGTAGAAAATATCCAGACTCTGGATATTCCCTACAATCATCACTCCCAGAGCAACAGCGCTTATGCTGATTTATAATTTGAAGAAAATGAGTTTATACAATGGATAGGGGCTGAAAGTGCACACTCTCAGGTTTAATTTGAGGGTATGTACATCCAAATTGGAGGAAGGGTTTAGGAACTACAGCTCTTAAGAGTAGCCATCCTCCCTTTTCCAAAGACCAAAAGTAATTGGACAAATGAATATAATCATAAATAAAATGTGCATTTGTAATATTTTGTTGAGAATCCTTTACTGGCAATGACTGCCTGAAATCTGGAACCCATGGACATTACCAAAGACTGGGTTTCCTCCTTTCTGCTGCTTTGCCTGAAGTCTGGAACCCATGGACATTACCAAAGACTGGGTTTCCTCCTTTTGCTGCTTTGCCAGGCTCTAACTGCAGCTGCCTTCAGTTCTTTGTGGCTCTTTCTGCCTTTTAATTTTGCCTTCAGCAAGCAAAATGCATGCTCAATTGGGGTGAGATCGGGTGATTGATTCTTTTCCTTCAAAAGCTCCTGGGTTGCTTTTGCGGTGTGTTTTGGATCATTGTCCATCTGTACTGTGAAGCGCCGTCCAATCAACTTTACTGCATTTGGCTAAATCTGGGCTGACAAGACAAGCAGCCGCATGAATTCTGCAGTGTTTAGAGATAATACTGTCACATCATCAATATACACCAATGACCCAGTGCCAATGGAAGCCATGCATGCACATGCCATCACACTGCCTCCATTATGTTTTTCAGATGACGTTGCGTGCTTTGGATCATGAGCTGTTCCAAGCCTTCTCCACACTTTTTTCTTCCAGTCATTCTGGTTTATCTTAGTTTCATCCGTCCAAAGAATGCTTTTCCAGAACTGGTCTGACTTTTTAGATGTTTTTTTGGCAAAGTCTAATCTGGCTTTTCTATTCTTCAGACTTATGAACGGTTTGCACTTGTGGTGAACCCTCTGTATTTGCTCTCGTGAAGTATTCTCTTGATTGTAGACTTTGGCAATGATACGCCCACCTCCTGGAGAGTGTCCTTCACTTGTCTGGATGTTGTGAATGGGTTTTCTTTACCATAGAGAGGATCCTGTGATCATCCACCACTGTTGTCTCCTGTGGACGTCCATGCCTTTTTATGTTGCTGAACTCACCAGTGCGTTCTTCTTTCCTCAGAATGTACCAAACTGTTGATTTGGCCTCTCCTAATGTTGCTGCTATCTCTGTGATGGATTTGTTTGGTTTTTAAAGCCTTACAATGGCCTATTTCACTTGCACGAACAGCTCCTTTGAACGCATGATGTAGGTTCACAGCAATAGATTCCAAATACAAATACCACACTTAGAATAACCTCCAGACCTTTTACCTGCTTAATTGATGAAATAACAAAGGAGTAGCCCACACCTGGCCATGAAACAGCTTTTGATTCAACTGACCAATTACTTTTAGTCCCTTGAAAAAGGGGGGATGGCTACTCTTAAGTGCTCTAATTCCTAAACCGTTCCAATTTGGATGTACATACCCTCGAATTAAACCGGAGAGTGTGCATTTCAGCTCAAATCCATTAAATAACTATAGCTGGAGTATGTTTTGGTAAATACCTGAAAAAAACTGAAACTTTGCCTGTGCCCAAAAATATATATGGACCTATCTGTAGCTTCTCTCTATATAGAGCCCTGTGCTCGTAGTAAAAACTGGGCTCTGTACTGTCATTTGTTAAGCCAATCAGCAGGTCCTAGCCATAAATCATTGGCCGTGACCTGCAGACCAACTTGTGCTGTAGCAAATGACAGAACAGATGGGGCAGTGGGTCCGCGCACTCCATACCCGGAAATGCCAGATCACGTACATATACATAATCCTGCACAGTGAGGCCGCCGTGCCGCAGTACATGTGGCGGTTAGCAACTGATTAAACAGTATCATAGCCAAACCTTTGACTACTTTTGGATAAAGGAAAGGATTAGAACCCCTGCATTAATAAACATTGTGTTCCCACAGGGGACATTCACCCCCTCAATTTGTCACCGAGACAGTCATGCAAAATCAATAATTCTATTATGGTCACCAGAACGAGAGATGAAGGAGATATTCCAATAGGAACACCTGTTCTAGTGACAGTTGTCTAAGAAGGGTAATTACCCTCAATTTGTAGATATTTCCTGCTCCTGTTTCTGCTACAAGGAATGAAGTGAAATCTCCCCAACGGAACACAGCATGCAATAAAACCGTCGGGTGTTTTAACCTTTCACAAACAAAAATGAAACACATTTCATTTAATTAAAAGTTTTCGGTTGGTTTCAAGCATTATGTGTTCACAATTTTGTTCCCTTTTGTACTTCCCTTGTGTTACTATTAACAATCAATGAGTAACCTAGGTATATCTAGGACAAAGGCCATGCCGCCCGTGCGGCTACATAATGTGGCCGCCTCATGGAGGGGGGGGGGGGGGGGGGACAGGGGGGGACAGGAGCAGTAATGTCTGGCATGTTCAGCACTATGTTTATCCCCTGGGCGGCACAAGTTTGCAAAAAATGCTAGCCTCAGGCAGCATTTGACCCCAGCCCGAGCTTGTCTGACCTATGCTCACATAACCCAGAAAAAGGGTCAGTTTTTTTGTACTCTGGCGTGTTACCTTAGAACACGCTAGACAGGAGGATCCTTGGCGTGGGTGGTAAGCTTACATGTCTTGGTGAAAATACAAACGGATGTATTTTGGTCAGTAAGTAAAAAGATTCATTTCAACTTCACAACAGACTGCCTTTTAAATATATGATATAGTAGAAACTAATGGCTCGTTCACACCAACAGCTGGGGGGGGGGGGCCTTAAGAGCCTGCAATTGAGCCATGCTTTTACTGTACACATGCCATGGTGCTTTGCTTCGAGGCCAGAATTATACCCAGTCACAGCAAATGCTACTGCCTACTGAACACAAGCCATTTAAATTCCGGACCAGGAACTTTCACGGCGGGGGGAACATTGGGTATTTTAATATAAGGGCACACACTGCCCCACTGCGCTTTTGCCAAAGCACAGCTTTCCTGCAGCTTTCCTATAGACATACGATTTCCTGCGGCTTTGGTGTAGTTTCAGAAAGCACAGCAAAAAACTCCTGCGAGATGCATCTTTGGTGCGTTCTGAAACCACAGGACATCATAGAAGTTTATGGGAAAGAGCAACTAACCTGAAAGAACCCCGAGGCAGCATGAAGCCAATCTAAAATACAGAATTTTAACAGCTCTGGACACTTTCTTT